CCGCTCCGGGCTCCGGTTACAATGTGGATCCCAGCTCGGCCTGTGCTTGCTCTGCTCCCGCTCCGGTTACAATGTGGGTCCCAGCTCGGCCTGCACTCGCTCTGCTTCCGTTCCGGCTACATCTCGCTTCTGTGACTCAGCCTGTGATTGTTTTGCTCCATCAAACCCAGCAATACTGAAAGAACAGCGATATAGTTTCAACTCTAGATAGTGTATGACTTGGAGGAGAACTCGCAGTTCATGGTGTTCCAATGCATGTGCTGCCCTGGTCCTTCTCGATCATAGAGGTCATAGGTTGGGAAGGTGCTGTATAAGGGGCATTGGTGAGCTGTTGCACTGCATACTACAGGTGAAACACCCTGCTGCTACTGAGTGTTGGTGGTGGAAGGAATCAGTGTTTAAATCTGGGTGCCTTCGTTGACAATTTTCTTTGTATTTAAATCTCGTAGGAGAGACAGTTGACAGCACTCCAGGTATGTCCATCAGGACCTACAGCAGGAATAGCTTGTTCCAAGATTCAGCATCACGGCACAATTTAAAGGAAGACACAAGCATTGTTGATCCTTCTACAGTAAGCTTTCTCAGTTTTTTTCCAACCTACTGTCATTTAAATTAAACAATGATGAATTTAGACCACACTGTGTTGGGGATTTAAACCCAGACAGGTTTTGTCACATAATTACAGTACAGATGGAGGTTATTCAGCCCATCATGTCTGGGCCAGCCCTCCAAATGAACAGTGCTCCTAGTGCCAGTTTCTTGCCTTCTTCTCGTAACCCTGTACATTTTTCCTTTTCGGGTAATATTCCAATTCCCACTTGAAAGTCTCAATCGAATTTCCCTTCCCCAAACACTCTCAGGCAATGCATTCCAGATCAGAACCGCTCAAGCACGCAGTCGTTTTTCCACATGTCATTGCCAAATGCTTTAAATCCTTGTCCCTCGCTCTCAATCCTTCCACCCGTAAGAACAGATTTTCTGTATCCACTCTGTCCAGATTCCACATCGTTTTGAATAACTCTTGTCAAATCTAAAATCTTGACCCTTTCTTTTAATTCATTCATGGGGTGAGGGCCTCACAGGCTGAGGAACAATTATTGCCCATTCCTAGTTGCCCTGGAGAAGGTGGTGATAAGCTGCTTTATTGGACTGCTACAGTCTATTTGATGTAAGGACACCCACAATGCAGTTGTAGGATTTTATTCCAGCAACACTGAACAAATGGTGATGTGTTTCCAAGTCAGGATAGCAAGTGGCTTGGAGGGAAGTTTTCACATGAGGGTGTTCCCATGTATCTGCTGCTCTTGTCCTTCTAGATGGAAGTGGTCAAGGGTTTGTCTAAGGATCTTTGGTGAATTTCTGCAGTGCATCTTGTAGATAGTACACACTGCTGCTACTGAGCGTCAATGGTGGAGGGAGTGGATGCTTGTGGATGTGGTGCCAATCAAGCGGGCTGCTTTGTCCTGGATGGTGTCAAGCTTCTTGAGTGTTGTTGGAGCTGCACTCATCCAGGCAAGTGGGGAGTATCCCATCACACACCTGACATGTGCCTTGTAGATAGAGGACAGACTGTGGGGAGTCAGGAGTTGATTGCAGTCCTCTAGATATAAAGGCCAACATTCCATTAGCTTTGTTGATTTTTATTTTTCTGCACTTGTTTGTGACATTTTAAGGATCTATGCACCTAAACCCCCAAGTCCCTTTTGGACACTCACTGAATTTAACTTCAGACCATCTGGAAAGTACCCTGATCTATCCTTTCTTGATCCAAAATGGATAATCTCACATTTATTTACATTGGATTCCACCTGCCACAGTTTTGTCCATTCACTTACTATATCAATATCCCCTTGTAATTCTCTGCTATCACCTACGTTGCCTACAATGCTGCCTAATATTGTGCCATCAGTAAATTTGGATAAATGACTTTCTGTGCCATAATAGAATAAATAATGTGAATAATTGAGGCCCTAACACAGATCCCTAATTGCCCTTGGACTGGGTGGATTGCTAGGCCATTTTAGAAGGCAGGTAAGGGTCAACTACATTGCAGTGTGTCTAGAGTCACATGTAGACCAGACTGGGTAAGGATGGCAGCTTTTCTTCCCTAAAGGATGTTTGTGAACAAAATGGGGTTTTTACGACAATGATTTTGTCTTCCCCACTGGACTACTTTTTAATTCAGATTTCAACATCTGCCATGGTGGGATTTGAACCTTTGTTACCACAGCATTAGCCCGAGTCATTATTAGTGTGGTGGCGAAGTGGTGACCTATTCACAAAATCACAGAAGTGTTACAGTGCAGAAGAGGTTCGTTAAATGAGCATCAATACCTGGTGCCAATCTCCTGTCTTTTCTCCATACCCTTGCACATTACCTTTATCAAAATATTTATCCAGCTCGATCTTGAATTTGAGCCAGCCTCCATCACATTTCCAGGCAGTGCATTCCAGAGCTTAACTACTTGCTGAGTGAAAATGTTTTTCCTCACATCGCCCTTGTTCTTTTGCAAATCTCTTTAAATCTATGCCCTTTTATTCTTTCAGAAAGGTTTATCCCTGCCTTCACTATCCAGTCCACTGGTGATTTTGAAAATCATCAATTTCACACACTAATCCCTTTATGTTCTTAATAAATGTGATTTATTCAAATAAGCTTTAGCACAATTTGTCACTTGTTTATGCTGGAAATCCACTGTGCTCTCTGACCGTCCACATGACCTGAGGAATGGTCAGCCTGAAGGAACTGTTAAAGGTTGAGATTTTCTCACAGCTGTAACTGAAATTGCTGAAAGTCCTAAAAAGATCTGACAGTATCTGTGAAAGAGGAGCCGGTCAATAAATATTCCCTCAGAGCTCTCAGAGATGCTGTCCTTCTAAATAACAGTTATCGACCAGAAATGTTCACTATGTCTCTGTCTCTCTCTATCTCTCTTTCCATCTCTCCCTCTCTCTTCCCCCTTCTCTCTCTCTCTCTCTCTCTCGCTGTATATCTCTATATCTCTCCATCTCTCTTTTTCTGTTTCTCCCTCCATCTCGTTTTCTGTCTCTCTGTCTCTGTGTATACATATCTATATTTCACCCCTCTCCCTCACTGTCTGTCTCCCTGTGTTGCTATCTCTATCTCTCTCACTTTCCATCCCCCTCTCTCTCTCTCCCCCTCTCTATGTTTTTATTTCAGCTTTCCAGCATATACGTTTCCCTTTCCCCTTGACTGGCCAATGAGTTTTTTTTTGTTCTCTACTGCAGAAATCTTCACCATACTGAGAACTGGACACCCACTCTGAAGACAACTCACTGCTTATGGCTGTCCACTAGAGTGCCTTGATACAACAGCCATGGAAACTCTAATCCTGCCACCACTCACAATCCCATATGGAGCAGACTCTCACTGGATACCTCCCTGAATTCACCCTGTGATACTTCAGGATTGTACCTTTACTGTGGTAAAAAGAAATTCGTTTTGCCTTAATTTCAGAGACCTTTTGGGAATGGTGACTGGTCTCTCTGTACCGTTGGCCCACGCCATTCAAAAAGCACCTTGATGTGTTTGCTGTAGAAAACTCGTCGTTGTCGTGTCTGTGATTGTCTTTAACTGGTAGCACACACTTGATGTAATTGGAAGCAAGGTTACTTGTAAGTGATTTGCCAACTGTATTATCTAAATCAACTGAAAAAGTGGTTGCCAAAATACAACTTGGAGGTATACAGTACCTCTGACATGTTGGTGGTTACTGTCAATTCATTGGGGATTGATCCCTGGAGCAATGACATTATTGAATCTTTTTTAAATGTTATTTTAAAGTGCACATTTATTTTCATACAATTTTGATCTCAAATTGTTAACTGAATTTACTTTTGCAATGAGTTCAAGGAACTTTCAACCTGAATTTGTGGAACGAGCATTGCCAATCAATGTTACCTTTGTTGCTTTTTAAAAGCAAGTTCTGGTTATGGGAGAATCGAGCACTTCTCTCAGCACTGGGGGCAAAGACAGTAAAGTGTGGAAACAAGAAACAAAATCACAATATCAGAACTTATCCAAAAAGGATGACCAGACACTGAGTGGCAATGGTTCAAATTCCAAATAAAACACAGGCATTACAACTCAATAGTCAGTCTTCGTTCAATAGCATTTACTTACGAATGGATAAACTTTGGGTGTTATATATGAAAGTAGGACATCTCCTGCATGATACAGATAGTGAGTCGGGAGTGTACTTCGCTCAACTTACAATTTGAGAAAACCCTTCAAGTCATGATATCTTCCTAGAAAACACCTTCATTTACAATAACAATTTACATTTACATATCACTTTTAATGTAGAAGAGATTTGTTTAAAGGTGCTTCAGCAGTTAAGGGAAGACCAATTTTGAAATCTGCACAAATCTGAACAAACGGGTGGATAGCTAGATCGAGATCACATAATCAGGACATGGGGACTGCCATTTAGAACTGAGATGAGGAACTTGTCACTCAGAGATTGTTAAACGTTTGAAATTCACAATTCCATAGGGCTGTGGAGGTTTAGTCATTGAGTAGGTTCAGAACAAAGGTAGATAGATTTCTAGATATTAAAGGTATTAGGAGATATAGGGATAGTGCAGGTGTTGAGGTAGAAAATCAACCACGATCTAGTTGAATTACGACAACACTAGAATCTATCCGACAATGTGGAAAATTGTCCAGAAATGTCCTGTACACAAAAAGCAGGACAGATCCAACCCAGCCAGTTACCGCCCCATCAGTCTACTCTCGATCATCAGTAAAGTGATGGAAAGTGTCACTAACAGTGCTATCAAGCAGCACCTGCTCAGCAATAACCTGCTCAGTGACGCCCAGTTTGGATTCCGCCAGGGCCACTCAGCTCCTGACCTCATTCCAGCCTAGGTTCAAACTTGGATTAAAGAGCTGAATTCCAGAGAGGACATCAGGTTGCTTTCAACCAAGGGTGGCATCAAGGACCCCTAGCAAAACTAGAATCAATGGGTATTAGTGGGCAAACTCTCTGTTGGTCGGAGTTATGCCTGACACTTAGAAAGATGATTGTGTTTGTTGGAGATTAATCATCTCAATTCTATAATATCTGCAGGTTAATGTCCTAGGCCCAACCATCTTCAGCTGCTTTATCAATGACCTTCCATCGCAAGGTCAGAATTGGAATGTTTGCTGATAATTGCATAATTCTCAACATCATTTGTGATTCCTTAAATACTGAAGTAGTCTATGTTCAAATGCGACAAGATCTAGATAAATTCCAGGCTTTGGCAGACAAAAGGCTGTTAATATTCATGCCACACAAATGCCAGGCAATGACCATCTCCAATAAGAGAATCTAATCACCACCCCTTGACAATCAATGGTGAACCCCCCACTAGCAACATCCTGGGGATTACCATTGAACAGAATCTCAACTGGGCTCGTAATATCCATAACACATAAATAACATAATAGCTACAAGAGCAGATCAGAGGCTAGGAATACTGTGATGTGTAACTCAGCTCCTGACTCCCCAAAAATTGTCCACCATCTACAAGGCACAAGTCAGGAGTGTGATGTAATACTGCCCACTTGCCTGAATGGGTGCAGCCATTCAAGAAGCTTGACACTATCCAGCACAAAGCAGCCGCTTGACTGGCACTACACCCACAAGCATCCACTCCCTCCACCACCGATGCTCGGTAGCAACAGTGTGTACCATCTACAAGATGCATTGCAGAAATTCACCAAAGATCCTCAGACAGCACCTCCCAAACCCATGACCACTTCCATCTAGAAGGACAAGGGCAGCAGATATATGGGAACACCTCCACCTGCAAGTTCCCTTCCAAGCCACTCACCATCCTGACTTGGAAATATATCGCCATTCCTTCACTGTCACTGGGTCAAAATCCTGGAATTCCTTCCTCATGGGGGTTGTGGGAAAACCTACAGCACATAGACTGCAGAAGTTCAGGGAGGCAGCTCCTCAAGGGCAACTAGGGACGGGCAGGAAATGCTGGCCCAGCCAGCGATGGCCACATCCCACAAATGAATAAAAAGAAAGAATGATGGAGCAAGTTCAAGGGGCCAATATTGATCCAGAGTCCCCATTTTTAAAAAAAAATTAATCACAGCTTCCTATTGCCACCTAAACTGTTACATGTTGTGCAGTTTGGGCTATTTCAAGGCCACACTGACTTTATAGCTGTCCAAAATAAGGATAAATAAAACAGAAACTGATATGGAACCTTGACTGCATTAAAGTAGCTGCAACCATTAGATCAATAGTTTGGCAGCAACAGAGCAGGATTTCCAGGACCTGAGTTGCCAGCTGATTCTGACCTAAATCAACAATTCAGTTTATGTGCCAATTTTCAGCCTGCTCAGTAGTAGGGAGGCCATGTCTGATGAAGCTGGAACCTTTCCATGGCACGTACACTCAAATGCTGATATCGATCACTATGATGAAGGTACTGGCCATCCACATCACACACAGAGTGGGATTTTCCCTGCATTCAACTCCTCAACTGGATCTTCCCACCATTCATCCTCTGCTATCTCCCATCAGTTCTTGGGTTGACACTGGGGTCATTGTGTGGACTGTCACAGCATATATTAGTCGATGGAAAGTCTGTACGTCCCCCCTACAGCAACCCCTGTCCTACTCCCAGGCCACCAAGCCTTATTGCATCCATTATGCACCAAAATCAGTTTAATGATAGGTAAAACAAAAATAGAAATTGCTGGAGAAACTCAGCAGGTCTGGCAGCATCTGTGAAGAGTGAAACAACGTTAACATTTCGAGTCCGGTATGATTCCTTCTTCAGAAGTTTAAACTACTTCTTCAGTTCTAAAGAAGAGTCATAGCAGTACTTGAAACATTAGCTCTGTTTTTCTCTCTCAACCTGCAGAGTTTCTCCAGCATTCTCTGTTTTTTTCAAATTCAGGTGGCATGGTGGCTCAGTGGTTAGCACTGCTGCCTCACAGCACCACGGACCCAGGTTCAATCCCACCCTCAGGCGACTGTGGGGAGTTTGCACATTCTCCCTGTGTCTGTGTGGGCTTCCTCTGGGTGCTCTGGTTTCCTCCCACAGTCTAAAGATGTGCCGGGTAGGTGGATTGGCCATGTTATAGTGCCTAGGAATGTTTGGGTTAGACAAAGAAAGGGGTAGGATAATGGGTCAGGGTGGGATGCTCTTCAGAGGGTTACGTTGGCCTGAATGGCCTGTTTCCCCACTCTTGGGGTTCTGTAATTTCCAGCATCTGCAGTATTTTGCCTTTAATGATATGTACAGAAAGTCTCTTTTTTACAAATGTCTGACTTATGAACACCAAGATTTACAAAGCAATCCCATACTGGGTGTAATTTCAGCTCTGACGAAGCATCTAGACTTGAAACATTAGTTTGGTCTCTCTCTACAGATGCTGCCTGACCCGTCGTGACTTCCAGCACTTTTTGTTTTCAGTGCAATTTTAGATATCTAATGTAGGAACATTTCCTGTACTCATGAATGGCTGCTTTACATTATACTGCACTATGTTTCGACTTGCATGCAAATGGACTCAGGAATGCCTGTACAAAAACAGAAGTTACTGGGAAAGCTCAGCAGGTCTAGCAGCATCTGTGAAGAAAAAGATCAGAGTTAACGTTTCGGGTCCGGTGACCCTTCCTCAGAACAGGTCTGAGGAAGGGTCACCAGAACAGGTCTGAGGAAGGGTCACCAGACCCGAAATGTTAACTCTGTTTATTCCTTCACAGATGC